GAAGGAGGAAGGGGGGGGGGGTTAAATATTAATAACTACCGACATCCCTGGAATCACAAATGCAAACAAGTTATATTTTACTAAGATCTCATAACTTCAGAAGGAAAAAAAAAAGATTACAGCGACAAACAAGAAATTGTTACAATTTTTGTTCGTTTGTTGGTTGGTTGTTTTTCTTTTTTGTTTTTCTCTTTTTTGTATTTTGTTTTGTTATTGACACGGAAATCCTTGTATCGCCAAATGGAAAAGATGTACAAGAATTAGGCATTGGCTTAAAAATTAAAGAGAACGCTGACGAACAAATGAAGCACAAGGAACGAATAAACTGAATAAGTTCAATAAAAAACGAGCATCCTGGAATCAAACTAGACATCGAATGACAAATATCATGGAAAAAAAGTAACTTTTGATTGTATCTTGGAATGAAAGCGACAAAAGAAAAATAGGTATCATAATCATAGAATAAAAGATACATAATAACAGATACCTTAAAATGCAAACGGCATAGGATGACGGGTATCTTGGGATTAAAAGGGCAAAGATCGAGTTGTATATTGAAAGAAAAAATTATATATTTTTAAGAGGTACCAGATGCACAGAGAAAAAATTGATAAAAGAAAATACCTGGAGAGAAAACGGAAACGTCCCACGCCAGTTAGTCTTAGAGACTGTTGTAATCTGCACCCCTTTGTATCGGTGATGTGTTCTCAGCCTTCAGATATATAATTTTTTTTAATTTCCTGGAAAAGAACATAGAAAACAAGAATGATACTGATAAACTTATGAATTATTCGTTAGGGATCTTACGGCACAATCAAAGAACTTATGGTATGACTCGTAGCTTGTCAGAAGTGTAGGAGATCAGACCGTTCAACAAGAGCTAATGAATGTGTCTCATCACAAAGCGCAAACGATGGTGTTCTGGAAAGTCAATACCAGACCGTTCAACAACAGCTAACTGTCTCGTCACAAACGGAAAAATCCGTTTTGTGAAAAGTCATTACCATTACCAGACCTGTCAATGTTCAGCAAGAACTAATGGGCTCTTCACAAACGAAAGTAGTCTAGACGTCATTGATACCAGGTCGTTCCGTTCAACAAAATCTAACAGCTTCTTCACAAGCGCTCACTAAAGTATTCTGGAAGGTCAGAACCAGACCGTTTAGCAAGAACTTTAATGTGGTCTCTTCGCACGCGCGAGCAGAGGTATTCTGAAAAGTCAGTGCCAGGCCGTTTTTTCAAAAAGAATCAACGGTCTCTTCACAAATGCACACGAAAGTAGTTTAGAACGTTAGTGACACCACGGCGTTTACCTCGAAAAACTAACGGTCTCTTAAAACACATACACACAAACGCAATCCATGAGGACAGCGTAAGATATGGCTCATTAACCCCTGACCCTTACAAAAAGGGTGACAGGTGGCACGGAACATCGGCAACCTTAGAATTACAACGATCTATCTGACAATTTATTCTTAAAACCGTTTTTGAGTTACTAAAACCATGAGATCAAAAACCAAAATAAATGTTCTCTCTGCTCTGTCAGAATCGTGAGTTAACTCGAAGTCGTTATCAAGATATTCAAAGGGTGAATCCGAAAAAGCTTGACATGTGAAACTCGAAATTTTTTAACGTCAAGTTTCTCAAAACTGGGCACTGAGCAGATAGAACTTTGTAATTCTAGGGTAGCGACTTGTGTGTGTGGAGTCTGAGCTTTATGGTCTGTGCAGCTGTTTTC